TTACCCTCGGCAAAAGCGATCAATTAACCCCTGCAGAGCGGGGAAAGCCCAACTGCAAAGGTTAATAAAATTTCTGCCCAGAGTTCTTCTTTAATATTTCCATTAAAGGGCAACTTTTCAGGATGGAAGTCTGGGAGCTGCCATTGTAGGCTTGTGTAGTCTGTAATCCTCAGGGCCTGTTCACACGATGTCCGTTTTCTGTGCTGACCTGATCCGTACGCTCCTGCACTAAAAATGCATCCCAATGTATCCCTATGTGTTTTATGGGCTACAGTTCTCACGTGCACAGTCCGTTCAGGTTACGACAGAAAAAATACTGCATGTCACATTTTGTCCGGTCAAAAACGCACTGCATCTGTAGCACCGCGTCTGCAGATCCGCACCTGATCAGGACCTGATATCATGTGAACAGGCCCTCATCCTGGATCCACTATGTACAGTAGTTATTCAATGACCCAGAAAAACCCGAGGAGCTCAGGACATCACACTGATTTGCTAACTACACACTTGTTCCTTGTCAGAGATGCACTGATTAGAGGATGACGGTGGTGGCCCTGGAGCCTGTATCTTTAATTTTTTTTAAAAACAGCAACAAAGGCAGCGCTCACATTTTTAGCAGCTACGCTTTTATATGAGCGGTGCTGGTCCATTGAGAAGATCTTCATGCCATACAAGATTGTCATTCTTACTTTTTGTTCCTGTCCACCTGGGGGAGTTTGGGTGATTCTTCCTGCCATGACTGCTTTGGGCGTTCTGGTCAACCTTATTAAGTTTTTGGTATGCTCACCCACTTTGAAGGCTTTTGGTGTTTCTGTCCGCTTTGAATGTTCCTGCCTCACTTGGATGGTTTGGGTATTTCCACACTTCTTGGAGGCCTTGGGCATTCCTGCCTTGGATGGTTTGGTTGTTTCCCTCCACCTTTTGATGCCTTGGGTGTTCCCACTTACCTTGGATGGTTTGGTTATTTCTATCACTTTGAAGACTTTGGGTGTTCCCGTCTGCCTTTGATGGTTTGGGTATTTCCACCATTCTTGGAGGCTTTGGGTGTTCCAACCTTCCTTGGATGGTTTGGTTGTTTCCTTATTTGGAGGCTTTGAGTGTTCTTTTCTGCTTTGGGAGGTTTTGGGTGTTCCCACCAGCCCTGGATGGCTTTACGTGTTTTCCCCCCACCTTGGAGGCTTTGTTCCTGCCCGCCGTAAGCCATTGCTGCACCCTTTGTTACACCTTCTATAATGTGACATAGACTCATAATCCAGCTGACATAGCGGTAACCTCTTGCATCAGCCTAATCCGATGTGAAGTCCAAGCACAGAGATCCCAACACTGGAGTCCACAGATTCTTAAGACCTTCAGCATCCAGCCGATGGGACCGGCCCTTAGATAGATAATACAATCAGTATACAGCTATTGCATGCACAGCAAGACCACGTGACTTTGGCCTTGCAAAAGAGATGCAAATGCCACCATTGGAAGTCCTCTTGCATTCTCCCCTGCACCAAGTATTTCCTGCTTTATCCCTCAGTAATTCCAACAGATTGCTCTAAAGATATATCAATGCGTTTTGCTTTCTTCTCTGGGCAGGGTATGTTTGTGCGTCCCCAGGCTTCCTATCTGAGTGAGGGATACGCATGTTTTGTCTCTTTGTGTGTCTGTATGCCTAGCGCTTGCCATGTCCTGGGGGTAGTCATGTTTCTTTCTTTGCTCCCCACTTCGACATTCATAAGAAGTGTGCTGGAGTGTGATGTGGAACCGCCTGCAGTGCTCTCCGCTGTCATGGCGTGGTAGAGGAAGTACCCCAGCTCCTGCGGCGAAGCGTTGATATTTCATAATCTGTTCTAATTACCAGCCGCGGCAAGATTTTTAAATAGTTGCGCTAGGCCAGGGCCCAGGGGTCTCCGGGAGGATGGGGCTTCTCATTGTAGCTGACCCTGGGTGTCTTGTTATTCCATTCACCAGCTGTGTAATAGTTGTAGTCATAGGGTGTTTAAGGGGAATAGTGGGTTTTGGATTGTTTATTGTGTTCAGTGCAAAACATTTTTTTCATTTTTATATATGAATAGTCTAAAAATATAAAATTTGTATAAAAGAGAAAGTAAAATGAGTAA